TTACAAAAAATGAAAACTATAGGCTGATATCCCTAATGAGCATAGATGCAAAAGTCCTCAACAAAATAGTAACAAACTGAATTCAGCAATACACTAAAATGATCATACACTATGATCAAGTGGGATTCATTTCTGGTATGCAAGTTTGGTTCAATATCTGCAAATCAATTATTGTGATATGCCACATAAACAAAATAAAAAATAAAAATCACATGGTCATATCAATAGATGCAGAAAAATTGCTTGACAAAATCCAGCATTTATTCATGATAAGAACTCTCAGCAAAGTAGGAATAGAAGGAACTTATCTCAATATAATAAAGATCATATATGACAAACCCACAGCTAAAATCATACACAAAGGGGAAAAGCTAAATACATTCTCCTTAAGATCATGAACAAGAGTCCCCTTTTATACAACATAGTACAGGAAACCCTAGCCACATAAATCAGACAAAAAAAATAAATTAAAGGTATCCAAATTGGAAAGAAAGGAGTAAAACCGTCATATTTGCAGATCACATGATAATAGATATAGAGAACCACAAAGATTCCACCAAAAAACTCTGAACTGATAAATGAATTTAGGAAAAAAGCAGGATACAAAATTAACATTCAGAAATCAGTTACATTTTTATACACCAATAATGAACTATCAGGAAGAGAAATTGAGAAAACAATCCCATTTACAATTGTATCAATAAAATCAAATACCTGTGAATAAATTTAACCAAGGAAGTAAAATGACCTGTACACAGAAAATTATAAGACACTGAAAAAAGAAATTAAAGAACATACAAATAAATGGAAACATATACCATGTTCATGGATAGGAAGCATTAATATAGTTAAAATGTGCTTATTACCCAAAGCGATATATAGATTCAATGCAATCACTATCAAAATACCAATGGCATTTTCACAGGACTAGAAAAAAATAAGCTTAAATTTATATGAAACCATAAAAGACCTCAAATAGCCACAGCAATTCTGAGAAAGAACAAATCTAGAGGTATCATGCTGATATCAAATTATACTACAAGGCCATAGTAATTAAAACAGCATGGTATTGACATAAAAACAGACACACAGATCAATAGAACAGATAGAGAGCTCAGAAATAAATCTATGTCTATATGGTTATTTAATCTATAACAACAGAAGCAAGGATATACATTGGGGTAAAGACAGCCTATTTAATAAATGGTGCTGGGAAAACTGGGCAGATGCATGCAAAAAAAAATGAAACTGGATCACCTTCTTACACCATATACAAGAATAAACTAAAAATGGATTAAAGACTTAAATGTGAGACCCAAAATAATAAAACTCCTAGAAAATATAGGAAGTAAACTGTCAGACATTACCCTTAGTAATATTTTTATGGATATATCTCCTCAGTCAAGGGGAACAAAAGAAAAAAATAAACAAATGAAACTACATCAAACTAAAAGGTTTTGCAAAGCAAAGAAAACCATCAACAAAACGAAAAGACATCCTACTGAATGGGAGAAGATAATTTGCATCTGATAAGGGGTTAATATACAAAATTTATAAAATCTCATACAATTCAACACCAAAAAACAAACAATCCAATTGAAAAATGCACAGAGGGCCTGAATAGACATTTCTCCAAAAAGGACATATGCATGCCAATAGACATATGGAAAGATACTCAATGTCACCAATCATCAGAGAGATGCAAATAAAAACTACACTGATATCTCACCTCACACCTGTTAGAATGGGTATCATCAATAAATCAACAAACAAGTGAAGATGTGGAGAAAAGGGAACTTTTGTGCACTGTTGGTGGGATTGTAAATTGGTGCAGCCACTATGGAAAACAGTATGGGAGTTCCTCAAAAAATTCAAAACAAAACTACCTTATGACCCAGCAATTTCACTGCTGTGTATTTATCCAAAGAAATCCAAAACACTAATTCGAAAATATATATGCACCCATGTTAACTGAAGCACTATTTGCAATAGCCAAGACATGGAAACAACCAAAATGCCCATCGGTAGGTAACTGGATAAAGAAATTGTGGTACATATACACAATGGAGTATTATTCTGTTATAAAAAAGAATAAAATTTTACCATTTGCAACAACATAGATGGATGTAGAGGGTATTATGCTAAGTAAGATTGAGAAAGACAAATACCATATGATCTCATTCATATGTAGAATCTAAAGAACACAATAAATGAAAAAACAAAACAAAAATATTGTAAATACAGAGAGCAAATTGATGGTTGCTGGATGGCAGGGGTTTGGAGGATGGGCAAGAAAAGTAAAGGGATTAAAAAGTACAAATTGGTAGTTACAATATAATCATGGGGATATGAAGTACAGAATAAATATAGTCAATATATTGTGAAAACTGTGTATAGTGTCAGATGGGTGCTAGACTTATCAGAGGGGGTCACTTCATAAATTATATAAATGCCTAACCACTGCACTGTACACCTGAAACTAATATAAAATAATATTAAATGTCAACTATAATTTAAAAATATATATAGTCATGGGGTGTAACATATGACAGCATAGGGAATATAGTCAGTGGTATTGTAATAGCCATGTACAGTGTCACTCTGGTAGTAGACTTGTTGGGGTTATCACTTTGTGAGGTAAATTTCTAATCACTATGTTGTTTTGTACACCTGAAACTAATAAAAAAAGGAAAAAAAGACAGTGCAAAAAAGGAATGCATGCTGTTCATTAATCAATTTAGAAATATTCATAAAAATTGGAAGAATTAAAAACACTAGTTGCACCTAGAGACCACATAGTCCATTTGGTATCTGGAAGACTTGCTAGATAAAGCCAAATACCAGTACAGCAATTCATAACAAGACTGTTCATGGAAAATCACCTGAATATAATATTTGTTGACTAGGAAAATATACCCAAAGTCGATTGTCAAGTTTTCACATCTTAGTACTGTGTTGCCTCCTACATGATCATCACAATTCTCCCTTCCTATGTAGGAATGAAATCAAAAGCAACACCTCACCACTCCCAACTACTTACCAGCAGTTCTCCTTTCACTTCCCGGCATACTTCAGGGCAGATCTCAGATCAAGATCAGGGACCAGGAAGGATATCCTTTGAATGGACTTATTTTGGCTCTTATGATCTTATTTACCATATTCTCTTCCTTAGGCTCTCTGAATCTGAACAATCAATAAGGGAGGAGAAACAATAGATTAAAGGAATCAGACAGGTTAGAAGGCAGGGATTTTCATTACCCAAGAGACTCTATATTTTAAAATGGGTCATTTGTGTTTATATACAACTAAGTAGTCACCATTTCTTGGTTAGTGGAAATTTTTTAAATCATAATTGAAGCCCAATTGAAAATTTGAGGCTCCTAGCCATTGAGATGAAATGTAGAGTCAGAAAGACTTGAGTTTCATTGCTTCATACCCCCCTTCACCTGTTCACTATGTAACTCAGAAAGTTACTTAGTGCCTGTGAGCCTCTGAGTTGAGATGTATAACTAAGGATGAAAAACAATACTTACTTGATGGGATCGTTGTGATGTGCTCGATTGCTTAGCGTGAACCTCACACTTAAAGGGTGGTGATTGTTATAATGACTTCTACAGGACACCACTAATTATAATAGAAGTGGCAGTACAGGAGGCCTGCAGGCCTCAGTCACCTTTCTTTACCTCTGGTTACCTGTCCAAGGTCTCTCTTCTCACCCCAAACTGTCAATCTCTTCTGCAAGTTTTCCTCCTTCTTCAGCACAATCTGTAAGGCTCGGGTAGACTTCATTGCTAATCATTTGATTAAAGATAGTCACACTAAGGTATGATTAAGGCTTATCAGAACTGTTGACTCTTGCCTTTTTAATGCCCATAGAATCTATAATTAAGATATTGGGGGAGTTTTTCTCTCTATTAAAGGGACAGCTCTGCTACCTTAAAACAATTTAATAATACAGTTCCTAAACATAATGATGAACTATTTACCAGGATAATTTTACATCTTCTATATATTCTGGTATGGAACAGTTCTTTACATAGGTAAGAGTTAACCAAATGGATAGCTGTCAAAAGACTTATAACCTATAAATACTATACTGTTTTTCAAATTTTACAGGAGAAATGGTAGGTCCACAAGGACAGGGATCTTATCAGTTTTCTTCATGGATCTATCTGAAGCACCTAGAATAGTGCCTCGTACAAAATGGATGCTCGATAAACACGTGTTGAAAGATTAGAGAAAGTACACTATTAAACACCAACCCTTCTTTAGAAACTTGCAATAATAAATAAGTACACAAATAAAAGCAACCATACTTTGATTTAATTTAAAAATCACACAAAAATGATATGTGCCAAGCATTGTGTTTATGAGGACAGTCTCTGACAATGAGTCTGGGGCTTGAATTTAGACAGCGACCCACTGTAAATCACTTAATTGCTCTGTGCCTCAGTTTCCCCTTCTGCAAAATAGGTATACTGTACCTCATTGTATAGTTATTAGGATCAAAAAAAGTACTGAATGCGTAAATGGCCTAAAACTTCCTGGCATAAAATAAGCACCCAATCAGTGTTGAGTGTTTTTATTAAAACCTGAAGTTTTACTGGAGAACGCATTGAGGTAAATGACAGCTGGAGGGCCCACAAGCCAGTTGGCAGTGTCAGAACTAAATAACCACCTTTCAAGTCAATCTGTGAAAAAGTTCTCCCTATTGACTACATCAAGCTACCTGCTCATCTCTTTATATGCTAAAGCTATTTTTTTAAAAAAAAGCTTTATTTTCTAAAGCTACTTACAAGAGGGAAAAATAAATGAGTGTGGTTCACTCTCTCTTGCAAAGACTTCTGAAAAATGTAGGATTTTCCAGATGCTTGCTGGAAACAATGAGAAAACATTGAACCCTGCCACCCAAAGCAGTTAATATAGCTGCCTGAACCCTGAGTTTAGCAAATTTATGCCACTTGAGAATTTTGTTATTTTTGTTCCCTGAACTTGGGAGCACATAGATTCAGGGAAACGGGAATCGAATACAGTAATTCTTAAAAGTGTCTTCAGGATAAATATAATATTCAGTCCCCCAACGCCTCACTTCCTCCTCCTGTCTCACCTCCCTCCGTTCTCTGCTCCCAGCTTTCCTCACAGCTGGTGCTGGAGACCGGGAATGGCTCGCAGCGAGCGCGGGCGGGGGCGGCCACTCTCCGCTGTAGCCAAGGGGACAGAGCGGGTTGGAGGGTGGAGACAAGGCGAGGCGAGGCAACTAGCGCCGGAGAAGAGCTCAGCTGCGGGCAGTTTTTCTCCAGGACCTGTCAAGTCAGACCTCACGTGTAGACCAGGAGATTCGAGCAAAGGCTACGTAGCCAGCGGCGCCCACTAAGCGCAGCCCAGCTGTGGCCTGAGCCTCAGGTGAGTCGCCCTGCCCTCCTCCCCACTCCCGCAGGTAGCCACCAGGTTGGCCGAAGCGCCGCTCCCAGGGGCCAGTGGGTACACTTCTCGTCTCACCTGGGCGCTGTGCTCGGCTTCTCCCTTTACTGAGGTGTCAGTACTATTTAAACTCCTGGGCCAGCCCACGCCTGTTCTATTCCTTGTATTTTTTTATTTTTTTTTATTTTTTATTTTTTGCCTTCCCCTCTCCTAAAATGACAGCTTCCACAGTGTGCCAGAGAGCGCGCCCAGAACACCTGCCCCTCGGGAAACTTGCAAGGACAGATATGGCTAAACCGAGAGGCGCAAAATGCCTTAACACGCGTGGCTGGAGCTGACAGTGGTGACCCCTAGTTCTCAGATTCACTGAGACTCTAATTAAAAGTCATCATTAATGATCCTTATTTCACAACCAGGAGGTCAAACCTAACGGAGGCGAGAGAAGAAAACGGAGCGTGGATGACAATCAGAATAGGATGAGCGTGAATGGGAGCAAATGATGCCGCCCCTTCGCTCAGAGCACCCTCCCCCCACGTGCTCAAACCCCCAGCGAACCGTCCCGGGAGGCCGATGAAGCCGCTGCAGTAAAAGAAGAGGAGAGGATATATATTCTCAAGTTGGAAGGGACTCAGGCTCGGTTACCACATCCTCTGCTTTCAGAACTTTTTTTTTTTTGGTCTCCTACGTGCAGGAGGGAGTCTTGTCCTCTCGCTTGCATTCCGCCAAGAGTCCCCCTCCTCCACTCTAGACCTCCCTAGCGCCTCCCCGCCCGCTCCATCTCCCAAGTAGCCAGGTTTTCGATCCTGACACCTCCCGGGCTGGGATCTCCATTACGAAGTTGGGAGAGGGGTGTGTAAGCCCGGGGTGGGCCACGACAACCGGCAGTGTGCCCTGCGTTGTCCTCGGCTTGGACCACACCTGAGCGTTTCCCAGTGCGGGACCCCGCCCGTCATCCCACCCTCCGCGCTCCGGCACTTGGGCGCTGCTGCAGCGCACTCGCGGCTCCCTAGCGGCGGCAGGGAGCGCGAGCACCAGGGTGGAGAGAGTAGTGGTGCGCGGGTGGGAGGTACTCCCCTTGGGAGCCCGGGAAATCCTGGCCGCCACCAGGGGCCGTGCCAGCGACCTCGCGGTATGGCTTCTCGTGCGCCACCAACTTTCTGGCGCCCCCAGGCCGCAGCCGTCGGGATGGAGCTGCCTCCCAGCGGCCGGGCGCTGCTGGACTCGTCGCTGGACAGCGGCTCCCTGACCTCGCTAGACTCCAGCGTCTTCTGCAGCGAAGGCGAAGGGGAGCCCCTGGCGATCGGGGACTGCTTCACGGTCAATGTGGGCGGCAGCCGCTTTGTGCTTTCGCAGCAGGTGCTGTCTTGCTTCCCGCACACGCGCCTTGGCAAGCTGGCGGTCGTAGTGGCGTCGTACCGGCGCCCCGGGGCCCTGGCCGCCGCGCCCAGCCCCCTGGAGCTCTGCGACGATGCCAATCCCGTGGACAACGAGTACTTCTTCGACCGCAGCTCGCAAGCATTCCGATACGTCCTGCATTACTACCGCACCGGCCGCCTGCACGTCATGGAGCAGCTGTGCGCGCTCTCGTTCCTGCAGGAGATCCAGTACTGGGGCATCGACGAGCTCAGCATCGACTCCTGCTGCAGGGACAGGTACAGGCGAGGCGCGCGGTGGCTGGGCGGGGAGGCGGGCGCGGTGCGCAGAAGGCGACAGAGGTAAAGATTTGAGGCTTTGCACAAGCCTGGCAGAACCCAGGCCTAAGAATACCTGTCGCCACTTTTGGAAGGTGGGGTGAGATGGGGGCTGGAAAGAGGCAAAGCCAACTTGCGATTGGAACTTTTTGAGTGAATGTACACCAGCCAGTTCATTTCTAAGGCAAGCGAGATCAGGCCTGCAATAAATATTTGGTGATTGAATAAGTTGTGCTCCAGAAGACGTACTCGTAGGTATAGGGATGAAGGTTTCAGTATGGAGCATTATCATTTATCAAACCTAGGACACTCCTTTTAAAAACTTGGATAGCCAAGTGCTTTAAATACAGAAGAGACAAAGTTGATTCCTTGACTTTGATGATGACTATGCTGTTATTTTTCTATTATTGCCATTTCTTCATGAATAACTTTCCATCACACACACACACACACACACACACACACATATATAATTCCATATAACAAACTTCTGTTCTTGTGACAAGAAACTGGGTAATAAAACACATTAATCTAAAGCAGCTTTGCTATGTATAAATCCTTTTGTATAAACTTGTATCACAAGGTGTCATTTAAAAAATAATAAGCCTACACGAGAAATTTAGAATACTGTGGGCGAGAGTAAAATATGAATGTCCGTTTTCTGCCTTTGACTGAAATACAAAGCATGACCTCACTGCCAAGTTTAATTCTCTTGTTACTTCTGTATTTAAAAAAAAAAAAGTTGACTAATCACCAAGTTGTCTTCCCTAACAGATACTTCAGAAGAAAGGAGCTGAGTGAAACTTTAGACTTTAAGAAGGACACAGAAGACCAGGAAAGTCAACACGAGAGTGAACAGGACTTCTCACAAGGACCTTGTCCCACGCTCCGCCAGAAGCTGTGGGACATCCTGGAGAAACCTGGATCTTCCACAGCTGCCCGAATCTTCGGGGTCATCTCCATCATCTTCGTGGTGGTGTCCATCATCAACATGGCCCTGATGTCAGCGGAGTTGAGCTGGCTGGACTTGCAGCTGCTGGAAATCCTGGAGTATGTGTGCATCAGCTGGTTCACCGGGGAGTTTGTCCTGCGCTTCTTCTGTGTGCGGGACAGGTGCCGCTTCCTGAGAAAGGTGCCAAACATCATTGACCTCCTTGCCATCTTACCCTTCTACATCACTCTTCTGGTGGAGAGCCTGAGTGGCAGCGAAACTACACAAGAGCTGGAAAACGTGGGGCGCCTCGTCCAGGTTTTGAGGCTGCTCAGGGCCCTGCGCATGCTCAAGTTGGGCAGACATTCCACAGGTATTCAGATCTCATTTTGCTATCTCATTGTCTTTTCTTTTTTTTTTTAAGATTTTTATTGGGGAATTGGGGAAGAGAACAGTGTTGGGGAATTGGGGAAGGGGAAACATTGTGTTTTTCCAGGACCCATCAGCTCCAAGTCAAGTTGTTGTCCTTCAATCTTAGTTGTGGAGGGCACAAGCTCAGCTCCAAGTCCAGTCACTGCTTTCAATCTAGTTGCAGGGGGGCAGGGAGCACAATCCACCATCCTATGTGGGAGCCGAACCAGCAATCTTGTTAAGAGCACGCACTCTCACCAGCTGAGCCATCCGGCTACCCGTTGGCAGCTCAGCGGCAACTTACCTCTGGGCACAGCTCACTGGCCCATGTGGGAATCAAACCGGTGACCCTGTTACTCAGAGATCACGTTCTAACCACCTGCGCCACCTGGCAGGCCCTCATTGTCTTTTAATTTGCCATTGTTTGTAAATATTAGTGCTTTGACCACAACCCAAGGAACACAACTCTGAATTGACACTGAAAATTACCAACTCCCATACTTTACCCAACCGCAATCTCCAAAAAGGGTATTGGGAAGCAAAACCTTGAAGTTATCATCGGTTACAGAGGAGACCATGCCTCTCACACTCTTTCTCTTCATAAAGCATTTGAGAATTGATTTGACCATTTAACCTCAACTTGTTTTAACCCAATGCCCAGAAGATGTACAAAAATTAAAAACACCTTGCCTCTAGAAGGTTCCAGATAAAATATGCATAAACAGCACATAAAAAAGATATGCATACATTTTATATGATATATAGGGACGTGAGCCAGTTTCTCTTCTGTGTCCAGGAAAGTGCTTACCACATATGTTCCTTGGCAGAAGAGAAAGTCAGTCCTCCAGAGGCTTCTCTGGCTAGTATGCAGAAAGAGAGATGGCCAGGCACTGGTGGCCTTCCCATAACTTTTCAAGAAACAATGGAATTATGTTTTTTGGAAGAAAGCAGAAGACACTAATTACATGCTTTATTTAGTATCTGAGAATTTTCTTGTCCCTGGTCTGGGATGCATGAGAGAGTTGGTAATAAGGATTCCTTAGCTTTTCGTGTGTGTCGTAAAGCCTTGATAATCTAATGAACACTCTCCCTAGAAAAATCTCCACACAACACAATGGTGCATGAAAATCAGAGTCAATGTCAGAAATCACACAAATCCATTAGAGGTGATCCTTGCCTCCCTGAGGGCAGTGACTCTCAGTGGCCAGCCCTGCAGCTGTTGGATATCCTGGAGTATATATGTGTTACCTTATGTTAGACTTTAATGACAAGAGGAATCCCATGAAATCTTGTTACAATGCAAATTCTGAGATGCAGTCCATAAAGAGGCACATTTTAGTATTTGGGGTTGGATCCAGGAGCATACACTTTTTTTTTAATGTACACACATTTTTTTTAAATTGGGGAATGGTGTGTTTTTCCAGGACCCGTCAGTTCCAAGTCAAATAGTTGCTTCAATCTAGTTGTGGAGGGTGCAGCTCAGTGGCCCATGTGGGGATCGAACCGACAACCTTGGTGTTATGAGCACTGTGCTCTAACCACGTGAGTTAACAAGCCACTCCCAGAAGCATACATTTTAACAAGCTCACAAGTGATTGTGATGTAGGTAGTTCTTGGACCACACTTTGAAAAACACTGGAGTAGGGTGCCATATTAATATCATACATATTAATACAATACATATGAATAAAAATAATTTGGCTAGATAATTTGGCTAGAGAGTCCTATCACCACCTTATTTTTCTAGATATGTGCCTGACTTGTCACCTAACAGAAATTAATGGTAGTTGTCTCTCTCTATAAATGTAGGGAGAAATTGACCTCATATTCCCCACACACACACACATCTCTAAGGTAATTAGAACTTATCCTAATATAATTTTGGTCGTTTATTTGCCGAGTTAGTCTCACATATCGGGGATTTGATAATGGGGTTTCCAACAACTTTTACAAGCACTACCCTTTGTTTCCTGACACACATAATAGGATGCTTTCTTCTAGTATTTACATTTTAAAACACCCAGTAAAGACTACATTTTTTCCCCAAAAGAAAGGAAAAAGAAAATGATAGTAATTTCCACAGTGTCACCTCTTCAAAGGGCTTTTCACTTCTAAAGCAGTCAGTACACAGTATTAATAAAGCCTTAATTTATTGAAAAGATATGAACATGCACAAATATTTGACAATTTGATCTCAAGCATTACATTTAGCAAAATATAGACATACTCATAGATGACATATTTTCCCATATAATAACTATAAGTTGAGAGGTTATTACACAAAAACATGAGGACAATGTTGATCCAAGCAGCCTAAGTTTAAATCCTGGCTCTGCGCTTTGTACTAGAGATGCTACATTGCACCTGTAAAGAGGAATAATAATTACAGCATCGATCTCATTGTTTTTCAGGATTATCTGAGTTAATAGATGTAACAGGAAGAAATTCAGACCACTTTGTTTCTTTGCAAAATTGTTTACAAGATCTCATCTTGAAATGAGAACAGCCTCCCCAAACAATATGCTTTTCCTCATATTCTGTCAATTTATTTCAGAAATGCAACTCAGTACAGACACATCAAGGCCAGTTTTCTAGAAGGTATTCTGAAGATATTCTAAAATTTTTTTCTTTTGAAGTTAAACCTCAATATTCATATTTACTGATCTTTAAAAAAATCACTGGTAAATAATGCAAGAACATCTCAAAATTTTAAGAACAGAATTCAAAATAATGAGAGTACAAATAATATTTTAATGCATTTCAAAGAGTCTCTTGTGAGTGAATAAAAACTTTTAAATGATTCTAAGAGGTATTGCTTTGGAATTCAGAGACATCAGGTTAACATGACTTCAAAATGTGGATATACATCAAGCAGTATCCCTCTAGTGTTAGGGAAGATACCTTACTCAAATCACAGTCCCATTATGGGCATGTCTTACTCCCCCTAGGGCTTAATCTCTTCAGTTATGGGAATGGACTCTCTTGGCTCTGTCTCCCAGAGGTTGGATGATGCCTAAGAACAGCAATGGGGAATCCACCAATGCCACATAAGGAGTTTCCTAGTGACTCCAATCCTCCATACCCATGTAGAAGATTCTCTATTCAGGTCTAGCTCCTTACAAGAAGGCAGACATTCTATGTACTCAAGGGAGCTATTTCCCCAGAGCTTTAGTATTAAAGATGAGAATTCCAATGGGTGTCATGGGAGTTCAGGAACCCCTCCTGATAGACCTCTCAGAATGTCCTCTGAACATACATATGATGCCCTCATGTCAATTTTATCACTGGTGCCTAACGTGTTTCTGCTGCTCCACTCATTCTCATACTATATGCTCTACACTACCTCTGGCATTCAAATAATGATACCTTCACTCTGTTAAACTTTATTGTGAGGCTGAGAAAAACACATGCATTAAATATAAGGAGATAGCATAACACTGGCACTAAAAAAGTGTGTTGAAGTGATGCATTGAATTGCAGGTCTGACCAAGTGATCGCTTCTCATGCAACCCCGCAGAGACCTCCCATTGTATAGACTCAAGTACAAATTCCTATCACACATTCCCTGCCTGCCTTTTAATTTCATCTCTCACCATTTTTGTGTGTGTAAATAGTAGGTGTTTAATAAATACATAAGTGAGTGAAGGAGTCTAACTATATTTCTTTCTATCCTTCTTAACCCGGCCCCATCAACTAGACGAGTATAAGCTTCCTGAAGACCAAGATTGATTAGTCATCAATGTGTCCCCAGAACACAGCCTAAAGCTGAAGACATATTAGCTGTGAAATATACGTTGGAGGGTGGATAGCAGGGAAGGAGAGAAGGAGAAAGCAGGAAGGGAAGGGTGCCAGTGACTGACAGCAGTTGTTCTCTTCCAGGGCTACGCTCCCTTGGGATGACAATCACCCAGTGTTACGAAGAAGTTGGCCTACTGCTCCTCTTTCTGTCTGTGGGGATTTCTATCTTCTCAACTGTGGAATATTTTGCTGAGCAAAGCATTCCTGACACGACCTTCACAAGTGTCCCTTGTGCGTGGTGGTGGGCCACAACCTCCATGACGACGGTGGGCTACGGGGACATTCGGCCAGACACCACCATAGGCAAAATCGTGGCCTTCATGTGCATATTATCGGGAATCCTCGTCTTGGCCTTGCCTATCGCTATTATCAACGACCGCTTCTCTGCCTGCTATTTCACCTTAAAGCTCAAGGAAGCAGCTGTTAGACAGCGGGAAGCTCTGAAGAAGCTAACCAAGAATATAGCCACTGACTCATACATCAGCGTTAACTTGAGAGATGTCTACGCCCGGAGCATCATGGAGATGCTCCGGCTCAAAGGCAGAGAAAGAGCAAGTACCAGGAGCAGCGGAGGAGATGATTTCTGGTTTTGAATTCACGCTCACTTTATTTAGAAAAGCTTGTGGAAAACTAACGCGATTGATAAAGTCTTGGTATGGTTGCGTACTGTTGAGGAGTCTCTTTGGAGTACTACCTGTGTGGATGTTTGCTGATACATTAATGGCCTGGTCTACTAGACTATCCCACCCCCCACAAACAACTGCACATTGTTTTGATACACTTGAGTCTCAAAAATAGCCATTTAGCATAACCCAATACAACTAGGCCAATATATACATGTCTGAATGGCCAAATATAAAATAACATTGCCATGCATACAATAAAGTTAAAAATTGTGTGCATCACTAATTTTAAAAGCTTTTTGCACCACTAATTAAAAAAAATAGTTCAACTGCAAAGGCCCAAGAAAAGAGAAGTGAACATTTAAGAAGATACTGAACAACTTCACTATTTAAAGATATTCCCCAAGTAAAATAAACCACCCCTTTCTCCATCAGTTAAAGCTGTTGAATATAACAGCTGTACACAACAGAAAATCCTGATTGGTTGATTATAGCTTGTATCGATATCTTCCCTCTGGTGCAAACCACTGGTCACAAATGGACTGAGCTCTGTATCATTACTATTGGAGGTGGGACTTCCCAAACTGCTTATACTGCAGGAGAAGAATGCTGCACACAAGCTTTGAGAACTGTACACTTCATCCTCCCACTGAGGGCTAGATGTGGAGCATAAAGCAGATACCTTATAGCACTCCATGGAAATTACATGGTCTTTAAAAATCTCCTTATTGATGTAGTGTTCACTTGATGTCTTTAAAATCATGAGTATGCAAAGGTGAAGTAGTGAAGATCCTAAATGTATGGAATGGTCTTATTTCATAAAATGAGAATGTGTTGAATGATATCACTGAATGAACTTGAAGATCTTTTATTTGTTAAGAAATATTATGGATAACTTTCTGACTGTTGGGGCAAATAACAAATGTTCAAACCTTGCACGTATTTTTGACAGCATTTGACAATCATTCATGATAATAAAACTCCTAGACATTTGGTTATATAATTAAAGCATAAAACTCTTAACTAATAATTAGTTTATGTTTCCCAATATTCTAGTAAATGAGATTTTTTAAAGCTAAGAATGAAACAGAGTATCACTTTAATACCTGCATTCTCAACGGGTGTAACATAGTGTTCCCAAGGGAAAGAAAATTGGTTCTTAGTGGGCAAAAATGTCTCTTTTTATTCATAAAATACATATGCACATACAATAAACAGATGTAGAGTATATCTATGGTATTAAAATTTCATGGGGTATGAAATGGGAAAAAAAATACCTAAGAGGTTCCTTGCCAGGGTTGGGTGGTGATAAGAAATAAAGATGGAGAAATGCCGCTATAATAAATGGCTATACAATATTTTATCAGTACTACTGAAGACACCCTATTATATTATGAACTACACAGAAGAAAGAGAGAGAGAGAGAGAGAGAGAGAGAGAGAGAGAGAGAGAGAGAGAGAAGAAGAAGAAGAAGAAGAAGAAGAAGAAGAAGAAGAAGAANGGAAGGAAGGAAGGAAGGAAGGAAGGAAGGAAGGAAGGGAAGGAAGGAAGGAAGGAAGGAAGAGAGTGATAAAAGAGAAGCCAAACAATTAATTATAAGATACCATTGAGTGTAAAATACATCCAGGTTTGGGATATGTAAAAATTTAAAATATGCATCTTAAAATCAGTGAACTAGCTTATATACTACCTCTAGTTTTCTGATATGCATGCTTAAGCTCTAAAAACATTTTTGTTGCTGGCATGAGTTAGATTGTATGCTAAAATATTTTTACCCACTTGGCTTGTTTCCACTTCTTGCCAATATTATGAAAGAGTAGTAAAAAAATAAATATTTCCCCCGATACACAATTCTTGATGCTAGAGCATGGCATAAGGCCACTAGTTCTAGCTAAACCTCATTCCGAGTCTTAAGAGCAAGCTTACCCTGGCTTCTCTAGAACTTTCCCAATGAGAAGTGACTCTAATCCGGGACTGTGCTTTGTATGTATCATGTATTATGTATGTCACTTATCCTCAAAATATCCTTATTATATAATTGCTATTCTTGTACTCTTCTAAGTATATAGTTTATATATTTATCCATTCAACAAGTATTTGTTCAGGACCTAGCTGTGTGCTGGGCACTAGAGATTTTTTTGTGAAACCAGACCAAGTCCTAGTCTCTTATATTTAATATTCTATTCGAGGGTGTGAGAGGGGAATACAGATGACAAAACTGAGGCATAAAAAGATGAAGCAAGTTGCCCACATTCTCACAGCCCATACGTAGATGACAGAGCCAGGAATGAATTCCAGTCTGCTGGACCCTGAAAATGATGCTTCTAAAAGTCACATTACAGATTCCATTATCCACACACAACCTATGTATACAGATTCACGTCATAGCAGACAAGCCAGTTTCTTGTGGACAGAGAAGTTTAATATGTCTTAAGAAAAATATCAACTTATTTTCAGGGGTGGAATGGTGCTTTCAAGAAACAGTTGCTCTCACACCTTATAGACATTACTAAACAAGAAAAATATTATTTTTCGAATAATTAACATTTGGGAAATGAAAAATGAAAAAAACTATATGTATTATATAGTTTTTTCATACCACAGAAGATTCTATACATGGCCCCCATAAATGTGGTATGCTAGCTGCATAAATTTTGTTGAGGTGAGGACATTTCAAAATAAATTTTTAAATATCACTGCTTAATCAGCTTTGCTGTTTTATAAAATATAAGTGTACTTATTCAACAAATGTACATATAAGCAAACCAAATTTAATTTAAGTAACAAATCAAGGCAGGAACTCTTAATTTTATATCCCATCATTTAAAAACCACTTGACATTTTTTAAAAATCTAAGAATTACTGCTATAAAACAATTTAATTTGTTTGGAAATATAAATGGAATTATTGGCTTTCTTTAATCTCAGAGAACACCAATTAAAAACATTTGTGTGAACAGAGGTAATTCTTGAGTACCTAAAAGAACAATTATCAGACATTATTGAGGCATCTCTAGTAGAAGTGGCATCACATTCATGTTTTATTGTTTTTCTCTCTATATACAAGGAACTTTTGCATTTGTCATTTCAATGCAAATTAGTATTAAGTACAATGTATTAGATGCACAAAGAAGTTAACTGAGGGAGAAATCTCAGTGCTGTGTTTCAATGTGGAATTCTTACTGTCATTAAAATCTTTTGACTAGCTCTTGCAGAAAATATATATATGCTGACCCAAGTTATCCAAGCAAAACATTATCATTGGTGAGCTTACTGCTTTGACAAATATTTCCACTGATACCTTTCGTTAACATGAAGAGCCTGCTCTTTCAAAATATTAGCCATTAACATCTCTGTTCTAGAAAACTTCAATTCAGGTTCAAAAAGACATCAGTTAGCAAATTATAAGTTACAGTGCTCCCCTAGTTGATTTCCTTCACAAAGCTCCCACCCCCAGCTCCCAAACCTCTCTCCCAGCCATGATGACGTACGCATAAAAAATGTCACGTAAGGACAGCGTTACTCATCAACTGCACTGCAGTGGCGATTGCTTACATGCTATGTCTTCAGGGGTGATGCGGTAACCTGGTAACCATCTTGATGTCTTCACTTGCCTTATATTAAAATCGCTCCCTTACTTCCCCGTCAATGCCAGGGCCCCTCTGTTCCTTCCTGCTCTACATTTGGTAAAACTCAAACCCTAATTCAGTCCAATCCAGTGCCTGCTTGTGCCTGCGCCTGAAGAGCTAATCATGATTACAGAAAAAAACCAACGTATGCTGACTGCTCTTTTACATTCGTGCCTACAACCCCCAATGGGTTCTGAACGCTGCTAGGCAGACATACTGCAATTACTGAATCTATTCACTCTCCTTAGGTAAATATAAACCTCTAACACCTCCCTGTGATTCCGCTTTCACTCAGAAAATAGAATCAGCTAGGAGAGGTTTTCTACAAGGTCCAGCACCCACATTTATCCACCTACCTCCATCTGTGCTTCGCTCTGCCTTTCCTCCTATTAGAAGGGTAGAGCTGTCCTCTCTCTTTTCTCCAACTCTAGAAAATTGCTTCAGAAAGTTTTTGCCCTCTCCTTACACCACCATCACTTTTCCTACTGGATCATTCTTATCAGAATAAAAACATGATTTTTCCCATCGTAAAAATAAAAGCAAACAGACAAATATAAAAACTTCTTGAATCTACTTCATCCTCTCGGTAACACCCAATTCCCTAAACTTCTTTATGGCAAAACCTCTTGATAGCATTTTCTATACTCACTCTCTCAATTTCTATATTCATTTAAAAAAATTCTTTCGTGAAAAGCCACTGAAATCAGGCTGCCACCCCTGTGTCTCCTCTAAAATTATTCTTCTCCAGGTCAGCGCTTACTCCATCATTGCTAAACCTAATCAATTCTCAGACTTTATATTGCTTGACCCATTAGCAGCATTTACAAGGTTAATTATAGACTTCCTTGAAATACTTTCTTCAGGTGACTTCTAACCCACCACACTGTCCCGATTGCCCCTATCCCACTGTTCATTTATGTTTTCTGGTTGAAGTGGTCAATCAGTGCTTAATCCTCAGTGCTCTTCCTGTCTCTACTTAGTTCCCTTGGGAAAGTCATCCTGTTTAATGGTTTGAATACCAGTGATGCTTGGTCAGCTCTGTCTTCAGACCAGATCTCTCTTCTCATTTCCTGCATCTTGAGACTTGTGTATTTAACTGCCTATTCAATATTTACAGATATCCACACATATTGCATGATTAGTACATCCAATACCAAATTACTGATAGTCTCTCAAACTCTGTTAGTTCAAGTCTCCTGAGAAGCAGGTGCCAAGACAGGCAATTATTGTGATATCAATTATGTGCAAAATATTTACTGGGGAGAAAGGCCTGAGGAGGTCTGTGGAGAAGGTGAAGAGCTTTCAGGCCATGAAGCAGATCTGACACCTGTGAAGAACAGGAAAAGAGGAAGATCGGGTAAAGAAAAGGTCTCTGCAGCCCAGTTCTAAAAATATTTCAGCCAGGTTGATGGAGAGTCATGAGCAAAAGCCACCCATTACGGAGCTCCGCCTACTTTAGAAATGGAACTGCGTTAATGCCTTGGACAGACAACAGGCTGTCAGGAACCACGCTCTTCTCTGGAGGAGATCTGAGCAGTGCATTTTCATGGCCACCGCAGTCAAGTCCTGGAACTGCACATGTCTGCTTCTCCATCCATGTTCAGAAGTAGCCCCTCCAGGGATCCTGTGGGCCTGTCTTTCTGAGGGAAAAGTTAGAAAAAGGAATTGGTAGATGAACTACAGCACGCATTGCCGTAGTTGGTCTCAGGACAGCAGCTAATAATCCTCCTCCCCCTCCTCTACTATCCACAGCGCCTCATCTCAGCACATTATTTCCCCCATAATACCCTAACATCTTAAAAGAGTTATTATAGAAAGATAATTCTAGTCTGCTCATGTTAGCCTCAGGGGAAAATTTTGTATCCTAGAAAACACTTTTATGATTATGGTGTACTGAAGTGCACCATCATGAGTCATGCTGCACAGAATTGTCATTGCCACACTATTTCTATTCTTAAACAACAAAAATGGCATTAATAAAATGGTATTGCTAGGGGATATTTCAAAACAAGTTAAACCACATTTTATTCATTTCTGACCTGGTAACATCACACTTAGTATGATGCTGTTTTAACGGGAACTATTAATAATCCAATGACTGAAAAATACTTTCATGTTTACATATTAACTTATGTATAACCACCATAGATACATACATTTAGCTTTCTACAACACAATGCAACTGAATCTGAAGTAACAGGGAAAATAAGTTAATTTTTGGATTTCCTTTTCATGTTTTAAGTCAAGTGACATTTCTTCCAATTATATGAAACTCATAGTCTAAGAGGTTTAATAAGTAAAAGAAGAGAATGGTAGTGAGTGTATTGTCTACATTATTCTATTGTTCAACCAAATTATTTCCAAAGAAATAATAATTGAACTAAAGCAGTTTCTACAAGTTTAGCAAGTGCATATACAGATATACACACACGTACAGAGAAAGTGT